CTCTTACAGACAGGCCAAAATCAGCTTAAAGCAGTAATTCTGATAACTCCTTTGCCTCTTATGTAGTATTTCTCCAAATGCAAGGTGTTTCGCTAGTTTAATTTATGTAATATCTGGTAGAAACAGGTTCAGCACCAAGGACAGGTTACATCTACATGATTTGAATGCTTACAGACAGGCCTGTATCAGCTTTAAGCAGTGATTTTGACAGGTTATTGATCGTCAACGTTACGGCTTTGCTGCTCAGATATTACCATGGGGGCTGTAGAAACTCTGTCACATCCAACCCACAGGTATTACACTCTAAGGCCACACCAGTTTGACTTGTTGGTTCTCTGATTTTTTTCAGGAAAAATATGAAGCGACAGGGAAAAAGAATTGAAAACAATTCTCTGATAGCACCAAAAGCTATTATAGGAGCCACGAAGCAGCCTAGTCTCAGAACTTTTAAACAGTTTTTATCAAATATTTAAGATTAGTTTTATCTATGTGCTATTTTTAGACTTTGTATGTATTGTGAATCTGTTTAACTGTTAGGTGTTTGTCTGTGCTTTTGTACCAGGATTTCCTGAAAAACAGGCCAGAGTGGCCTGAGTGTGATACCTGGTTGAACAAATAAAGTTGAAAGTTGAAGTTGAAGTCAACGTACAGTAGGGGCATTGTCAATAGATAGCTTTAAACAATGTCTAGAGCTAGAAGTTCAAGGGTTAGGTGTAACAAGTCGATCGGTGTAATATAGCCAGCTATTGCCGCGCCGCGTGCCTGCGAAGCTGGTGTGTTACACCGAAAGGCGGTTATACCAGCTATACAAATACAGATACATGTACCAGGCGGGTTTATAATTCAAACAAAGAATTCTAAACTTTTTATCAAACCGATGCACTGATACATGGAAAAACTGTAAGTAACAACAAGGAAGACAAGGAGCTTTCTTCAACAGTTGAGCAATAATGTGAGCATTTTGGAGTTGATTCTGGCTCTTTTTCTTTCTTTTTTCTTTTGGAAATTAGAAAAAAATGGCACAGGCGAATCCGAGAACCAATCAATTAAATTGGTGTGGCCTAATCACCATGAGCTCACTGCATGTGTGCCATCCTTCCGTATTGTGTAAAGTGCCATTTCCACAAGCAGTGTTTGTAATGATAACACCATGCCTGTCGCTGGTAGTTCAAGGCTACTGTGCGGGTTCAATATCTTCATCTGTCAGACACTGTAATCATGTCTACTGGAAGGTAATTCAGCACCAGGGACAGGCACAGTTGTGGCACATGTTTTTGTTCCTGAATGTCATGTTTGTATTTCTTATGAGGGTTCAAAAATTCATGTTTTGGAACTTGTGCATTGGTGCATCTCACCTAAATCTTTAGAAAACATTTGGGTGCACAACATAAAATAATTGAACTCAAATTCTATAGCTAATTTCAAATTACTAAGCAAGTAATACAAAAAAGCATTTCTTACATTTTTCATATATTTTGTAAGAATATGTTATATATTAGTAATAGTACAATGTAGTATGCAATAATGCCTTTCCATACTTAATATACCCACACAAATATATAGTCAGTCAAAATTAGCTGCACAGCCTTAAATTGCAAATCCATTCGGTATTTTAAGCCTTATTTATAGAAGAACTATATCAGCTTCGAGCAGTGATTTTGTTGGCATTATAGAGTGCTTTGATCAGATTAGCCCAAATCCTCTGGCCAGTTCGAAACAAATATCACAACAAAGCTTTTCTTATGTTTTCTCAAGAGTATGCTACATACTGTTGTACAATGCCTTTGCATACAGCTTCAAACATCATATGCACCCAGTATTTTGAGCCCTGCTTATGGATGAACCCTATCAGCCTTAAGCAGTGATTTTGTAGTTATTATGGATCGGTGATATTTGGGCTGAGATGTATCTGGCAGAGTGAACATAACTCCTAGGCTGTACAATGCCTTTACATAAATGCATATACATCCTGTATTTTGAGCCCTGCTCATAGATGAACTCTATCAGTATCAGCCCTATAAAATAAATAAGCCTTGATTTTGTAGGCATTATAGATTGGTGATATTTGGGCTTAGATGTCTTATTCAAGAATATGTCTTATAAAAATAACAAATATCTACTACGGTTACTGTAGTAGAAAAAAAACAGGTGTATATGTATCCAGTATCCTGTTTTGAGCCCTGCTTATAGATGGACTATATCAGCCGTAAGCAGTGATTTTGTAGTTATTATGGATGGGTGATATTTGGGCTCAGATGTAGCTAGAAGTGCAGACATAACTCTGACACGCTGTTCTGCCCTCCCAGGCTGTAATCAATGTTCGCTCGGTCCCTATTGTAGATTATGCTGTATACTAGTGTACAATTAGTACATACACAACAAATATCTAGTAAGAAAAGGTGCATATGTACAGTACCCAGTATTTTGAGCCCTCAAGCAGCGATTTTGTAGGCTTTATAGATCTCTGATATTTTGGCTCAGGTGTCTTGTTCAAGAATATGCTGTATACTAGTGTACAATAGTACCTTTACATACATAACAAATATCTATTAAAATGTGCATCCAGTATTTTGAGCCCTGTTTATAGATGGCCTATATCAGCTGTAAGCAGTGATTTTGTAGTTATTATGGATGGGTGATATTTGGGCTCAGATGTAACTGGAAGTGCAGACATAACTCTGACACGCTGTTCTGCCCTGCCAGGCTGTAATCAATGTTTGCTCGTTCCCTGGCATGACTGATGATACGAACAGATAATCCGTCATACCCGGTATACACTATATAATACAGGGCCAGGAGCATGGGAAGGTTTAAAACACAGCACGAATTAGCTTCTAGCAATGCAGAAATTCAGATTCAGCTTTTATTTCTTTTGGCTTCTTTTATACAAACAGTTAGAAAGTGTATATACAAACAGTTAGAAAGTGTAAAATAAAAAAATTTGAGTGTGAATCTAAAGGTAAAACATGATATATTGTTTGCTGGCATGACTGATGATGGGAACAGGCGATCTGTCATCTACAGGCCAGGAGCGTAGGAAGGTGTAAAACACAACACGAATTAGCTTGTAGCATTGCAGATAATAATTCAGATTCAGCATTATTTCTACTGGCTTTGCATCTCACATTTTATTACATGAATGATATAATGCTAGTCAGATATGTCCATAGAAAATGTAAAATTTAAGCCTTTGAGTGTAAAATAAATCTGTGAATCTAAATGTAAAACATGATGATGTCAGTCACATGTCTACAAACATAGAAAATGTAAAGATCTTAGCCTTTGAAGTTTGAATGTCATATGACAATTGTATGATGTAAGAATACTGTCGCTATTATTTCTAAAGGTGAAATCTGACATAATGCCAGTCACACATCATTTTCTATTATCATTTTCTATTATCATAGAAAATGAAAAAATCTAAGCCCTTGAGCGTGACTCCCATGGGATGGGAGGTCATGGTCAATGCCATTGCTGGCAATATTTTTTGGAAGATAAAAGCCAAGATAAGACAAAATTGAACTTGACATCTATAACCAAAGCCTTGAATATGATAGTCCCTGGTCTGTAGTTGCCAAGGGTTTTAAGATCACTGTCAAGGCATTTCTATAGGCAGGTAGAAATGGGATAAGACATTATGTCAACCCAAATCAGATGTCTATGAGCAAAGATGGTGGTTGAAAGTTCCCTCGCCCTTGCTCATATGTCTATGTTTCTTTTTGCTAGCAAAAATACAATGTATCTCTTTTTGCGATTGATGAAAATAACACTACTTGAATAGCCTAAGAAGCTTGTAGATTTTAAACAAATGTCTCACTGAATCCCTATCAAAATGATCAAATATATATCATAGGTTGAAAAAAAACATTGGAAAGTGATACCAATGTCGTAGAATGCCAAAATCAAACAAAAAAGACGAAAATGTAAAGAAATGAATTTGAAGAGTTTGAAGATTATTTACCATACCATACTCTGTATTATTTGTGCAACCTTCATAACCATATTAGATTTCATAATGAAAGCAACTCTTTTGGGGGGCCAAATTTTTTTTATTTGTACGCTTGCATCAGTTTTGGGGTTCCCAGAGGATGTCATCCATATAATCAAATCAACATGGCCTAACTACCCATAGATGGAACACCCAAGTTTTGCAGGTACATGGAGGCAGGTGGTCATGTTACACATAACGACTTGTTCCACCTGTGCCCAGTATATCTCACACACTGCAGTGTTACAAGCTGTCTAAAGAAGGTGTCATTACTGTACATCATGACTTAAAAGTGTTTCCTGGGAGCAACCAATTATCTGGGACTTATCCAGGCACTCTTCTGATTGCTAGTTTCAGATTTCAGATAGATTAAAGATGGGGATAGTAAGTTTCTATCTTTCTTGGCCAGAATCCAATGTTGCATCTATGTAGCATTTTGTTGATGTTACTTCATGCATTAGCATGTAAATTAGAGTCTCAAAACTGGGTATTAGAGTTTAGTACTGTTTCACATAGAGTTCAGCACCAAGGACAGGGTAAGTTTTGATATCTGGTACTTCACGTTTTAGCTTGTACTGTGGCGTTTCACAACTGGAGACTGGGATTTGGTTTTAATTTACATATAGTTCAACACCAAGGACAGTGAAGGTTTAAACATCTGGTATTACATATTTTAATATGTCATCAGGAGTTTCAAAATTAAAGACTGGAGATATAACTGGTATATACTTCAGCACCAAGGACATGGCAACCTGCATCATATGTTACTACATGTGTTATCATGTAACAAGTGTTATACCTAAAGACTGGTCTATAAGCATGGTAATTCTTAATTGTTGATTGATTGATTTATTGATTGATGAAGAGTTTTACAAGAAGATACTGCAGTTTTAAAGTTATAATTAACATTTCAGTACCAAGGACAGGGACTTCATTATATCTTTTTTTGTGTGGGTAACACTAGCATCACATGTGAGCACCAGAGTAACCCTAGCCTCCCGTTTGCCCACAGATCCAGGCATCCCAGCCGGGCTCCCAGTCCCCACAGCCAGAGGAGAAGGGGAGCTCCAGGGAAGAGGACCTGGCCGCGGCCAGGATACAGGCTGGATTCAGGTAAACATATAAACAACAAGTAAACAAATGAATAAAATTGTTGTGCAGTATATTGGCCAGAATACAGACTGAAGTCACCTAGATGTAGACAACAAGACTTTAGTAAACAAATAAACAGAATTGTTGTATGTAGGGGATTCATTCCTCAAGCTAATCCACATCTTGCACACCCAGTCAGTAAGACATCTGGAGCCGCATAGTTCCCTTTTAGGACTTTTGTTCAGCCTGTCAAACAAAATTGGATTTGATTTGATTTGATAATTGCAATATGATGCACAATGTTTAAGTTGCATATAGAAGACAACATGACACAACAAAATGTGAACAAAAGTGTTCTTTATGTAGGAAATTCACTGAGCAATCTGTAAAATTTTTGGTGGCTCAGTGATCACAGCCCCTAGTGGTAGGCGGTGTTAAGAGTGTACTTTTGTCTCATCTTGCTAGGAGTCTCTGTGTGACCATAGCAAGGTCCACCTTACCTTCCTTACCTACCAGCCTTACCTGGAAATCACAAAATTTAGATAAACACAAACCCCTTTTGCTCATCACCCCCTGCTACTGTAAATCCTCAATTGTTTGCAGTGTTTTTATTTTTTTTACAATGAGCTTTTGTAGTACAAAATTGTTTCAACCATAAACTTAAAACAAAACAGTTCTTTCCCCTTCTACCAAGAATGAAGTCCTCGCAAAAATATATGAATTTGCGGTTCTTCTTGCTCCATTTCCTAGTTATGGGACAAATTTGCGAAACAACAAGTGTCACTACAGTGGCCACAGCCCTGCCCTGTTTTACCCTGTGGTATCCATGAATAATAGCTTATGAGTCATCATTATCAGCTATGGATTCTCTGACTCACTAATGATAATAATATGTAGACAGGACTACAATCTACAACATTGGTTTCAAGAGCTGTTTCCAAATTACCCCATTTTTTGTCTGAATAATAATGTTTTATACCTTTATCCCAGGCCTGTTGTTGGTACATCCTTCCTTGGCATTCTTTTCATTCCATTTCCTACATTTTTCTCCAGGAAAAATCTAAAGCAACTGCTGACCCCAGTACTGCCCTGTGTCCCATAGCTGTCAAGAGTTCTTTATTACCTCATTTGTTGTATCTATACATGTTTATAAAACAACAAACCCCTGTCTTTTACACATCCATCCTGCCTTTATAGCATTCTTCTTTACTCCATTCCAACATTTGTCTTGGAAGAAAAATCTGAAACATCTCCATCAGCTGACCTCAGTCATGCCTTGTATCCAGTGATAGATAAAATCTACCCCCCTGTGGCATGTGGGAGGAGTGCTGATCATTCCCTGATCATACAGAGTAAACATGTTTATCTTGGGGCACTCCCTGTGAAGGTTTACTGACTAATTGTTTCAAATCTGATCAGCATCTGAGAAATAGCAACTGGCATTCCTGTGACCCTTAGCCCTGCCCTGTCTCCCTACATACATGTACACAGTGATATATTACAGCTGTCTGTTGGGAAATGTTGACCAGCAGTGGGAGGAGAAGTTACCATTTTCAAAACCTTTTATTTTTGCAAATCAGAAAAAAATGAAGCGACAAATCTGAGAACCAACAAATTAAATTGGTGTGGCCCAAGGTGCACATGCACCCAATATTTCGAGCCCTGCTAAACCCTGCCCTGTCTCCCTATATACATGTACACAGTGATATATAATAGCTGTCTGCTGGGAAATGTTGACCAGCAGAGTGGGAGGAGAAGTTATCAGTAATGATAATTAATGTCCTCCTGCTAAACAAACATGTCACCCCAGGGTGTCAGCAGTGGTGTTTTCGTTATAAAATCCATGTGTCCCTTTGATGTACAAATGTACTGCACTAGGATAAAACAAAAAAGGGTCTTATCCTACATGTGTGAATTGTGTGTTACGTTATACTGTAATAGCGTAAATTGTGAATTTTTTTTTCAGAGAAAAGTACAAGTAATACAACTAAAGACAAATATGGACAAAGACATAGTGATGGTGATAAGTTGTACACAACTTATATTCTCACCAGAAATGCAAAAAATTGTGACATGTCAATGATGCTTTAAATATCTATGTTTGTGGTTTTTGTTGTGGCTTTGCTGCAAATTATAACAGAAATGTTTCTACTGCAAACTTCAAACACTGCAAAAACCCTCCTTTCCCCTCCAACCTTGAATCAAAACCACTGCCACAAAATAAATTCAACACATTTACTGCAGCCTGACAAACTGGAAGCTATCTAAACCTGGCAGTCAGTGTGATGTTGTCAGCCAGGAAAATGAGTGGAGCTGAGATTCCTGAGATTACTGTGAGATTACACCAAATGCTAACAGGAAGGGGGAATGTGTTAGGCAGAGGAAATGGCCCCATGTTCTAATGTAGCCTGCAGTGATTGAAAGACCCGCTAGGGGGCAGTCATCACACTAGCTTCTGAATCGATAGTACAGTACAGTACAGTACAGTACAATTTTTCATGTTGCTATCACAATTTCTTTATTCTTTAAGAAGTCAGAAAAGACAGAAGGAGAAGTTGGAAGGGTTTGATAATTATTCTCAATTGTACTCGTGCCACGCTGTGTAACTGCAGTCAACTTGTTTTTCTGCGACCTTGAAAATTTTCAGATTACGACCTTCAGAATTCTATGAATAGCTCCATGTGCATGCAAATATTATTCTGTAGAAAAGGAAACCTGTATGGCCTTTCCTTGAAAACAGTTCATAGAATTTCATTCCCCATTTTCTTTTTCTGAAAATGAATTAAAAAACTGTTACTTTCAAAGATTGATAGATGTAGCATACCAGTAGTGGTGCCATCCCAATGTTGCTTTTATTTAAGTTCACCAAAACGGAAGTTACCCCTTAGCTGTAAACAGTCTTGCCCTGAAATTGTCCAGTATCCGTCTTAAATCTTTGTAGAGAACCTAGACGTAACTTTGGTGACATGTTTTACGTCAAGTCTGTGAAAGCTTAACTAACCTGTCTGTGTAACATCCCTGCTTTTCACGGAAATGTCACAGCAATACAGAAGAGGAAGAGTAAGTATCGTACAGGCCAGTTATTAGCACAAGTTAGAACAGTTAGTAGTGTCGTTGCACTCTAGATTAGCAACTGGATAAATTTAGACTAGTCTAGTAGTTGAATGTATAGTAAAGGTTGGACTGATTGGCAAGTTGAGAAGAGTACTAGTATCATGCTGGCCTGTTATTAACACTAGTTAGAGGTTCAATTTTTCCTTTAATTTGCCCAAAGGTGCTTCATCTTTCGTACTGGCACATTTCATTTCTAGTGTAATATAAGGATTACAATTTTGGACTGTCTATTGCTAAACAGTAAATCAGAGGCTGAAATGCACTAACATAAAAGGGCTCGTCCCTTAAAAGAAACCAGAAATGCAGTAATAGCCCCACTGTGTTTCAAAGTAATACCTTTATCAAATAAATAGCCACACATACACCAAAATTGAATATTAAGACATTACAAAATTCAAAGTCAGTAAAACGCCAGCCTGAACCAGGGTGCTTGCACGGTGGGTGTTTTGAAAGGCTGGGTGTTCAAGTCTTTGCGAGTATTTAAGTTGTAGTTGAGCTACAGTAGAAAGTGGACAGAGATGAGTTCATCAGTTTGCAGAGATCCTATCTGTAGGGAGGAGTCACCAGATTTCCCATGGGAGTGTGTGGTCATCATTGTCATCAGGGGAAAACATCTCTTAACAAGATTACATTTCAGGGGACACTTTACAGTGGAAGGAGACCACTCAAGGGACCGAGAAAATCTGGTCTATGTGGACACTCACTGTGTCACTGGGACAAATTATCTAACCACAAAATGGAGGTTTAATACATTGGACAGGTGGTCCTTATGTAGAGGTGGTCACTAATGCAGGTCTGACTATATATAAAAAAATCTTTTTTTCTATTCTTTCAGAGCTCAAACTACAGTATTTCTGTTTTCTATACTATTTGAATCTTTTTTGATCTATTCTATTACACCTGTTTTCTTGTAGGCAATGCCAAATTACAGGTTTTTGATATCTTTCTACAATCTCAATATTACTGTGTGGATATTGTTTTTATAGCCCTTTCTTTAGAAGTTACTCTGGTACACAACCTGTATATACTAAGTATTACTCAAAGAATATTAATGATATTGTTATTCAAAGCCCCATGCTGCCAGGTTGTTGACAGCTGCCAACCTGCCCACCCCTCCACCATCCCTATAGTGGTACGGCCCTCATTTAAACCCGGCCTTGCCTGCACTATCTCATTCTATTGGCAGCTTATTTTCACAACCGCCGAGGTGCCAAAAACCTTCTCTTCCTGACAACCTGTCTGGTCCAAAACACGTCTGTTCTACCCCAAAACTCACCATTCTCTCAAGAAAGAAGCACTAGAGCCTTAAATATGCTGTGCTGTTTCAGGGGTTACCAGAGTCGCAAGCAGGCGAAAGCTCTGAAGGAGCAAGAAGACCAGGAACAGCCTGCTTCCGCACCGACAGATGACGGCCCGAAAGCCGACGGGGAAGCTAATAAACCAGCGGAAGAGGAGGAAGAAATCGACATTGACCTTAATGACCCAGAAGTGGCGAACGCTGCGGCGAAAATCCAGGTACAGAACCTTAACTTCAACCCTTTTTCTTACATCCCCACCTTCTCTATCTCCTCGTGCCAGCATTTTTCTTTCCCCACTCGTTGACGGCTGCCATCTTGCCTTCAGACAGGCAGGCTGTAGTTTTACTACCCTCTCCCTCACCCCTGTCGCAAGGTGGTTGTTTTCTGCATAGGAAAACCCTCGAGTGCTGAACTAGTGGTTCTTTGCACCAGATGAATGTGTTGGGTTTAATTCTACAGCCTGGGAGTAGCCCCCAGGGCGGTAGTTTGTATGTTTGATGCAGATGAGACCTGAATGTTCCTCCTCGTCTACATTTTATACCTGCATCTGGGTACCGGTGGTTTTTATATTCAAGTGCTGTACAATCAATATGTGTGAAAATGATGTCCAAAATTTGTTGAAATTTGTGTATTTTATCTGAAGATTTATATGAATTGGTATAATTGTTGTCAGAAATTTTCACAATGATTTATGACAATTTTAAGAAATGATCATTTAAATACATTTGAGTGAGGATATTTTCCTGTAATACAAATTTTACTTACAAATGAAGAGATTTCTCTCGATAGTGTGAACAGAAAATGTAATTTTCATATATTCATTGAGATATAAATACATCACTCACTAGCAATAATTGTTTTTTCATGTATATTTATGATGCTTTCAATCAGAAAAATCTCTCTTATTACTATGCATTCAACACCTATACACATGTAACACTATATTCCTCCACGAGTGCATAGAAATTTCTGCGAATGGTGCATTTGTCGGGAACCAAGAGGGAAAAATTATAACCATAAAAAGATGAAGGCGCATAAATTGTGGCTGGATCCCCGTGGAGATACCTGAATATTGCAGGCTGCTGAATAATGAGTGGAGGGAAGCATAAAGCGACATAAAGCAACAGCACTGGTGATGTAAATCTTACGTTTTAGCACAGGGTGCAAAAGTGCAACTGCGAACATAATACAGGGATCGAAATTCATTTTTGGGAACACATAAAATTGTTAAAATAAAGTAGAATTTTAACGGGCAATGTAAATCTTACATTATAGCACAGGGTGCAAAAGTGCAACTGCGAACATAATGCAGGAATCAAAATTTGAAATTTCTGTACGTAGCTAAAACTGGTGGTGCACAGAAAACAATTTTAGTGCACTAAAGAAGATAAAGTTTAATATCAACGGGTGATGCATCTTACATTATAGCGCAAGGCAAATTTTTAGTGTCATCTGTGAACAAAATATTGAAATTTGTTTTGGGAACAGGTACACACTGATGCACCCAGCCTAAAAATTTGATTTAAAAAAAAAAAGTAGAATATTAGCTGTGGAGATACCTGCATATTGCAGGGTGCTGAATAATGAGTGGCACTGGGGAGACTGGGGAATGTAAATCTCATGTTATAGCATAGGGTGCAAAAGTGCAGTTTGTAAAAGAAAACATGGGGATCAAAATTTACTAAAAAAAAATTGATAATTATAAAAATAAAGTGGAATATTAACTGGTGGTGATTATAGCACAGGGGTGCAAAAAGTGCCATTCGCTAAAATAATGCAGGGATTGGAATTAAATTCATTTTTGGGGAAAAGGTACACTGAAAATTTAGTAGCACAGAGAAACATTTCAGGTGCACAAGATTGAAGAAAGTAGTATATGTCTGAAAAATCTAACTTATTCCCTCTCTTCAGAGATTGAATCTGAAATTGAAGGTTAGTAATACAGCAAAGGTTACTGTTTTTTATCATTTCTTCTGACACACAAAGTTCAAATTTGGAATCCTATGGAATGTAAACCTGCAATTGTGCAATTCTTTAGATACGAAATGCCTTGATATATCTCAGAATACATAAATCCACAGCATTGGGGAAATGTTCATATTTATCTTACATTCAGTGCAGGGTTCAAAAGTGCAAAACATATCTGATTCAGTTGTTGTAAATATATAATTTTTTTTTACATTTTATCTTGTAAATATCAACGCCATTCAGGCAACATTGTATGTCATGTTTGTCTGTTATGTTTGGTATGTTAATAAAGAATTGACATAGAAATTCAGTGAATTACAATCATTATATATCTCACTCAGACTGTGTATTTTTGGTAAGACTTAAATTTTGGCGAAATATTCAGTTGGAAGACCCATTGCATCTAAACATAGACACATGGCTGTACACTTTTAATCAACAAATGGCCTGAAGGCACATAGGAAAGCAATAACCTCAGGGAGTGTGTATTTTACATAAGTGATACAAACAACATCTTTATATTGAATTTGGTATGATTTTTTAGGAGGGCTTTTCAAGGAAAATTGAATTGGACTGTCTCCCTAAAAATATTCCCAGCCATACAGGTCTGATTAAACCATGAATTCAGCTGTCTTCTATATAAATCTATGCTAATGGGGACATTGACTGTATCATCATTTTTTAAAAACAGCTTAGTTATTTTAGCTTAAGCTTAAGTTATTCTAATTCAAAGTGCATGATACCATTAGATTGACTTTGAAAGAATAATTTTGCCATAAAGATTTGCAATTTTATTCTTAGACTAGCAATTCATAGAATCAGATCATAATTCAAAACTGACCACCACTCAAGGGACCAAGAAATTTGGTCTTTGTGGACAGGTGGTCACTATAGACAGGATTCTTAATGCTTGTGTTAATAGGAAAATTATCTAAGGGACCACCAAAAAGTGGTCATATTGGCCAGGTGGTCCTTATATAGAGGTATGACTCACTTGTACAGGGTTGACTGTACTAGTTATTTCTTTTGCCAAGAATGTTTTGATATTTTGACATGAGTCAGAACGTGATGTATTTACTCCTTGGTCCCTCCTTGATCCGGACCTTTATTTCTTACAAGAATTTCTCAAGAAAGCATTTGACCCTGATCACACGACCCTGAGTTCCCACCAAGAATTTTGTTTGATGTTTTCTTCCATTACACTTTGGCAAATGTCTAAACATGCAAACTGGTGATTTTTATCATCAAATCTTACAGCTGACTCAAAACCAAGGTTCAAAGTGTGTAATTTACATAAAACCAAGTGAACATGATGGTAAAAAAAACAATTTGATTTGTTGGTTTTCAGATTCAAAAACTTAAAATTGAACTTGAAAATTAACATGAAAACTGAGCGTAAGAAGTCTGTGCCTTGTGTGCTATACACAGTTAAGTGGTGCATATATATTAGTCAGATCTTTAAGTCTATAAATTTTCAAAGAGAAATTTTAGCAATTAAAGATCATAAAGTCATATATAAAAACTTCCAGCAATCTGTTTTTATGATGTCTTTTTGCTAAAATTTTGCTCTTATATCTCTGATAGCCAAGGATATGAATTTTTGTGGCCTAAATTTATCAAAGCAAGCCACACTGAGTCACTCAAAATCATGGTGTTTAGTCACATCTGAGTCCAATATCCATGCATAATTAAGAAAGACCTGCCATTTTAGATTGATATTTCATTACTTGGAATCAAATTTTCAGGATTTTATCAAATTAGAAAAGATCTATTAAAAGCCGGAGCGACAAAAGAAGGCCTTAGTCACTCAGAAGCTCCAAAATCAATGAATTTTCATGTCTACATTTGAATACATGAATAGAGGGCACCACTGGGGTACAGTAAAGGACAGATTAGTTTGTTACATGTGGCAGAACTTGTTGCGTTTGTATTGATTTTTGTGACATTGTTGCTAAGAATATCTGTGAGTGGGGAGTTGGGGTTCGATAAAGTATGCAGGAATGTGTTGTTGCCACCTCGGTGCCAGACTAATATCAGAAATACAATATTCAGAGACGCGTACATGTACGTGTATGTATGTGTGACTCAGGTATTGACAAAATATCACAGACTGTGCTTCGAAAGCGTCAACAAATTTTTACATCAAATTTAGTTATTTTTATTTTAATTTGCATGGGGGAAAAACGGGGGTAATTCAACCAGGCCGGCTGTGTTGTCTACATGCAATCAGAAAATAGCACATAAAAGCTCCCAAAGACCATGAAGGCCCCCAAAACCCCCAGTTTTTGGCATGCTATGGAGGCAACCCTTAACACACCCTTTCTTTGCCCCTGAATCCATGCACTTGTCAAGTTTTATATCGTATTTTTCCACATCAGCCTTCTACATCAAATCCCCCCCCACTCCCACATGTACCTGGCATTTACGATTCTTTGCCCAGAGGTACACACGTACTGCATGTATTGATGGAAACTTTCAACAGCCATTATCGTAAAGTAGATTGTCTGGGAACCATTTTTTTTCATCCAGTGCAGTTTTTAGCGCTTGGAAATCAGATTTTTCAAAGTCAATATTGTAGTCAGACACTTATCTACATACTGAATTAAAACCACACTATCCCAATGTATATGGACCCTCGTGGAGCAAAAATATCCAAAATTCAGACATAAAATGGTTACTGGAAGGGCCCTGAGCTGATTTTTAGGGTACCTCCCATAAAATATAATTAGGACTCATTTTGGTACCTGTTTCTGCAGTTTTAAATGCCCAAAGTATAAAATGCTGATTACATGTGCTAATTTGAAGCAGTATGTGTCAATATCATAAAAATTGCCATATTCAGAATATTCCAGTTTTGCTGCTCTGAAATTGCATTGGGCACAGGATTTTATATATACCAGATGCTTCTTGTCATTATTTAATAAACATTTCCTTGGAATGTCGCTCTTGTACTTCTGTTCCCAAATTGATTTATTCTGACCTTGTCCAGTATAGATTTTTAGGAGGCTCGCGCCAATTTGAAGGTCACACGTGCAGAACTGTGGAACCAAGATGGCCGCCACGGCGTTCCGTCCGTAACATTTTATGACAAGCCGTAAAAAATAAGCCCTGAGAATAAGCCGACAGCCGTTTCCTCGTAAAACGTTTCAGTTCGATACATATCTTGATTTGTTGGCAGGGCATAAAATGGTAACGACGTCATTCCCTGAAACTTTGAATTACTATCTCGTATTATGCATGAAGTTATTCATTATGCATCATAAGGAAGAACAGTCTATTAATTGAAGTCCCATCATTAAGCACTGCAACTGTTGAACTTATGCATTTTAGGCTGAAGCTTCCCTTTCTCATTATATAATTTTACAAGTGAGATTCATGTATCAACAGAACCAACCAACAAACATTTTCCAAATTGAATTTAATTGTCTTACATATTCTTAAGACTCTGTCAGAATATCAACATTTTTGGAATTCTATCATGGAAAAGATGTAGATATATTTTATTTTTGATAGTTTCCTGGAAATTTCTCATAGTCCAAATAAAAGTGTCCAGCATTTTGTTTTTACATATGCTAATTTTTTCATAGCTCCGACCACTGGACCAAGTGATGATTCGTGAATACAAAAAATTCACAGGAGCAAAATAGCAATCCCATATAGCACCTTTGTTAATATCTCGAAATGCAAATTAAGAACAATGCATACATGTGTGAATGCAAAATTTTTGATGGACATGCAGCCATTGTTTCATTGGTCGGGTCGCTAATTGCTCAGCTATCATTGGTTGAACTGGTAATTGTGATGGACACTCAGGGTCAGTCTATTCCCAGAACAATCTCATAATGAACCCGTCCTACGCATCACCCGTCAGTGCCTGTTCACGAGCGCATCTTAATGACTCCGTCCTACGCTCTGCCTGTCAGTGCCTGTTTTGCAAGCGAATCACAACGATCGATCTCGCCCCACGCTGTCCTTTTCAGTGCCTGTTCGCAAGTGTTTCTTAATGAACCCGTCTTACGCACCACTTGTCAGTGCCTGTTCGTGAGTGAGCCTTAATAGAGTGAGCAGCAATAGAAGTTCATGGATATATAATAGAACGTGGGAAACAGACTTGTTTATGCGTTAATGACTCGTGTTCAGCCAGATGTGATCATGCGTTAAGCACAGATGTGCCAGAGATATTGCGAGGGAGGGAGGGAGGAGGAGACACTGAATTATATTGCTTCCTTTTATTTTGCTAATCGTGTGCTGTTTTCTGACTGCTGAAATGAAGTAATGAAGTCCGTTATAGCCAAAGAAGACAGTATGTGTGAAGTCAAGGAAAATGAATTGTATATTAAACAACAAAAAACAATGGAATGAAGAGTGGAGATATTGTAAAGGAGGGAGGGAGGAGACACTGAGTTATAATGCGTTTCTTTTTGCTGATCGTGTGCTGTTTTCTGACTGCTGTCTTTTGGCCACAAAGCCTGAGAAATGAAACAACGAAGTCCGTTGTAGCCTCAGAAAACAGTATGTATGTAGCCAGGCAAAGCAAATTTGCTTTATTAAACTACAAAAACAAGGGAAAGAAGAGTGGATGGAGGGACTATAGACATTGGGTTGGCATTGAGTTGTGATATCTCTCTTCTTCTCTGTAGTGAACTAGCACGTCATGAGTTTGAATCCTCACAGTTCTTCTAAATCTGAAAACTGGAGGTAAAGACAAAATCTTATAGATGCAAGAAACTCACAGTACTTGGAACGGTTCTAAGCATATGGGAGAAATATACATGTAGTTCAGCACCAAGGACAGGGTCTGTTACTGCATGTTTTAGCATATGGAGTTTTTAAAAAAAAAATTGAGACTAGAATTTGTATTACATGTAGAATAAATGAGCAGTTAGACCACTATTTCTTCTAAATCTAAAACTGGATGTAAAGGCAAGGCAAATCTAACAAAAGGAAGATATTCATAGTTCTTGGAGCAGTTCCAAGAGCTTGAAGACAGATTGAGAGTGTGTGAATCACCAGAAGTGCAAACTGTTTTCCCATTTGCTCATATGCATTAAACGAGTTTGTTAGTTCATTAGTGATGCTGAAGAAGAGTGGAGGATGTAACAGTCACTTGAAACGTCCAGAAATTATCGCCGTAATTTATCCAGTACATGTAGTAGAGTTTGAATTTCCAATGAGAAAATATTCCTAGTTCTTGGAGCAGTTCCAAGCGTGCTGAAGACAGAGATTGAGGTTGTGTGAATCACCAGAAGCACCAATATAAAAGCCCCGCCCAGAGACTTATGTGGGCTTATGGTTGGCCCATTCTTTATCATGCTTTATTGCCAGTGACAGACCCGGGGGTTTTCAGGCTGTGTTCTGCATAGCAAATTAAAACAAAAGAGAAACCAAGGAAAAATCATCACAGTCTCTGCCAGAATGCACGATCCCTGATAAACAGTATTGTAACAGAGAAATTTAAGATGAAAATAAATAGATTTAAGCTATACTGACATCCGTGACAGACCCGGGGGTTTTCAGGCTGTGTTCTGAATAGCAAATTAAAACAAAGGAGAAACCAAGGAAAAATCATTGCAGTCTCTGCCAGAATGAGAGATCAGAAACAGTTATCGATGATCGATTTACCAGTCTGAGAGAAATTTAAGGTATCTGTCTAGTTGGGTACAATGTGTCTGGTAATCAAAGAAGATATCACACATTTTAGATATTGCATTTCCTCCAATACCTTGAACATGCCTGGTTACCTGATTATCACTATTCAATGTAACAGATCAACAAATCTACCAACAGAGGCAAGTGTGGCCCCTTGAACTCCGTCCCGTTTTAAGAGACTTCTGCAATAACTGAAATGACCCAAATGAAATGATATGGACCATATGTTGAATTTAAAGCTCCTTAGTTATATATGTCTTTGTAATGCTGATACCTGTATGTGTAATTATACATGTCTATAGATTCACTGTATGTGTTTATGGATTTTTTAGGACTTCAAACATGTAACCTGTGTCTTGTACTTCTCTGATCCTCTGACCTCTTCCCTCATGACCCCAATTAAAGCAGCCAGCCGGCTGATTTCAGTGTTTTATAAATGAATTATTTATCTGTTTACTTCTTAGAACATTGTTAGTGATCACTTGTATTTGTTACTACTTGTATTTTAGATTTTTTAAATGTTTTTATCTGGACAGGGGGCCTTGAAAAGGCACCGCCTGTTCCCCCTGTCCTGTCCTTGTGACAGAGTTCAAATAAATAAATGAATAAATAAATAAAAAACATTTAAGAAACAAAATAAACAAATAAGCAAACTTCTTCAGATCTCTAACCAATGTTTTGTTTTCTCTCCTCCTGCAGGCCGGGTTCCGAGGTCATCAAGTGCGGAAGGGGATGAAGAAAGACAAACCTGCCGAGGAGACACCTGCAGCTGCTCAGGCCGCACCTGAAGACGCCAAGGAAGAGGCTCCCAAGGAAGACACACCTGCCGAGAAACCTGCAGAAGAAAAACCCGCCAAAGAAACACCTGCAGCTGAACCAGAGGCGAAAAAAGAAGAAGAAGAAGAAATTGATATTGACTTGAATGATCCTGAAACAGAGAAGGCCGCCCTGAAGATCCAGGCTGGGTTTAAGGGCTACAAAGTGCGGAAGGGCATCACCAAGAAGGAGGAAGAACCAGCCAAGGAAGAACCTGCTAAGGAGGAAGAAAAACCTGCTGAGGAGACGAAACCAGAACCTGAAGTCTCCGAACCGACAGAAGAAAAGAAGGAAGAAAAGAAAGAGGAAGAAGAAGAAATTGACATTGATCTCGATGACCCGGAAACAGAAAAAGCAGCGATAAAAATCCAGGCTGGATTCAAGGGCTACAAAGCAAGAAAGGGGATGAAACCAAAGGAGGGAGAAGCTCCGAAAGCTGAGGAGAAGGCGGAAGAAAAACCTGAAGAAAAATCTGAAGAAAAAGCTGAAGAAAAGAAAGAGGAAGCAGAAACAACAGAAAAACCTGCTGCAGCACAAGAAGAGGAAGAAATAGACATCGATCTGAATGATCCGGAAACGGAAAAGGCCGCGATAAAAATCCAGGCGGGGTTTAAGGGGTACAAGGCAAGGAAGGGGATGAAGAAAGAGGAGACACCAGCTCAAGACGCCACCGAGAAACCGGCAGAAACTCAAGATGCTGAGGAGAAGCCAGCAGAAGAAGCTGAGAAGACGGAATAGATCTTAAGACGCAGTTGAAGAGGTTGTTGTAACTTACTACAGGAATCTTAGAGAGATGGAGACACCCAGCAAAGTTACTTGTTTCTTGGACAAAATAAAGAATTCCAAGATGACAACTTGACTGAGGAATGCGTGAAGAGACTCTTTTTACACAACAAAGTCTTTTATTCAGCCGACGTTTCGGTGACCGCCTGTCACCTTCCTCAGGGCAATTCTGACTGGTTCACTTTGCACTACAGCAATGTTATCTGGAAATGAATCTATAAGAATAGCAGCGACACCTGTGCTGCAGTGCAATGTGAACCAGTCAGAATTGCCCTGAGGAAGGTGACAGACGGTCACTGGAACGTCGACTGAATAAAAGACTTGGTTGTGTAAAAAGAGTTTCTTTACTCAGTGTCTTACCAACCTGATGAAACTAATTCATTGGCTGAGGAATGTGTCAGACTTGTTTTGAGTTCAAGGCTGTTAGGTCTGGGTTAGGAAATGCTGACAGTCTCGACACTGAGTATCGAGTTGTCTTCCTTTTTGAAGGTCTAAGAAGCAAGGAATTTTGTGGGTGTCTGATGAGGCCCAGAGGTGTCAAAGAACTTAGGGTTATGTGCAAGTTATACTTGGTGTAAAGAATGATCACTACTGACGAAAGAAAGCACTGGTTTTCCAGAAGAAATTTCACCAATCATGAACATTCCAAACGAGAATGGAGTAATTTGAACTTGAACTTGTAGAATATGAGAAATCATTCCGTATTTATACTTGAATTTTCCACAATTGGGGGCCATGGCAATGGAATGGGTAATTTGAGAATTCAAACCCCCCTCTAGAATGTATTGGAATCATTGATAAGTGGATGTCATTTTAAAAATTATTCGACCGTTTTCACTGCCTTGTAGTTACCGTATTCAGCTGCAAAATGTTTTAAAATGCGAATTAAGATTCCCCCAATGCTCTGCCAAAAGAAAATGAAGTTTTAAAAAATTGCAACACCATTTACATGTAAAGCACTTATCTTCAGAGTACTTACTGTCTATGAAGAGGTGTTTTTATCATTAGCCTCCTTTGCAGACTTCTTTGAACAGCTGCATTTCTTCGGCAAAATTCCCTCCACGGCATTACTCCCTCTGATGCATTAAAGAACCTTAGGCGGTGTAAAAAAATTGCGTATCAATGCCCCCTCCAAAAATATAAATGCTGCTGTGCCAAGAAGTCTGTGAAGTAGGCTATAACTACTTTATCGGTGCCATGAGGTGGCCAATTTTTTTGTCCCTTTCCAGCAGCAAAAATACAAGGATGAAAAAGACCTTTGATTCAAAATTGAAATTTATGCTCTTTCTTCCTAGAGTGTGAACCATGTTTGGGAGTAAAGAGTAAATCTCCCAAACTACTGGCTGCTTCACAACATTCTTGGATTCGTAACCTTAAGAAAAACTATTATCATAACATATGGTCACATCTTGATGAAGTATTGACCCTGCTGTATTGTGAGTCTGGCTTGTAGCTTTCTCACCAGATAAACATGAAAAATGAAGGGGCTAAATTAAATGTAGTTCAAATCCCTGAGATTTAGAGTGTCGAAAGAAAGTTACAGAAAGTTATAGAAAGTTTAGCTCAAGACAAAATCAGCACATGTATCTGTTCATGTATGTCTGGTGCCATAAAAACACCTTACAGTTACCTAGTAATACTAGTACACATGTATGTGTCTCTCAAAGATAGAGAATGAATTTTTTTCACCAAAGAGCCCACTTCTCTTGTGACTTGAGGACATAATAAGGTGTTTTAAACAACTTATGCATTTTAGAATTGCCACACACTGTGACTCTAGTTTGCTGCAATCCATCTTGTTGTAAGAATACTAAAGCTCACTATTTAACAAATGCCTCGAATTTGTACAGAAGCACAAACTAACTAACTTACCGACAAAATGCAGTTTCCTTCAGGAACTTAAACCAATAGCAAAACCTCTGCACTGTAAATACTTCTGTCAGCAATAATTCATAAAAATGTCTTTATCAATAGTTTCTTATATCAAATTTACGATATTATAATATTGCGACACCTTTTCCTATTTGTAGTAGAAGTAAGAAAAATCACTGAAAAAAAGGTATATTCCTTTTTATACGTGTACATATTATATAAAATTAGAAGACTTCTCAGTTTTTGTGTGTTTTTGATGTATACAAGAGAAACACTTGTGGAATATTCATAAAGAATTGAACCTTTCCAATTGCTAAATTATATAATATATATATATAGATGCATGATACACTTTACTTAGTACAATCTTGACTTAAATTTGTAGTTGTACTTACACCAGGATAAAGGCTCAGAGGAGCAAAGTCATCACAGTTTTGCTCACCTCACAATGGAGCCAACAATAAAAGGATGAACCACACTGATGGGTGTTTGGTGATTATGAGTCTATTTATTCTATGAATGGTTTATTGTGTGTGCGTGTGTGTGTGTGTGTGAATGTGTGTTTGTGGATGTGAGTGGCTGTGTGTGTGTGTGTGAGAGAGAGAGTGTGTGTGTGTGTGTGTTGTTTCTGTTCAATTTTGGAGAGGACTTTGCTAAATATTTTTAGATGTGTGTATGAGTCATGTTCTGTTCAGAAAATAGAAGTTAAAAGTCTTTAAAGTGCCTCTTTACCATTTTGTTGAAATGCCATTTAAATTGGAACAAAAGGCTCTGGTTACAAGGGACCTTGTTTCTAAGGACAACAGTATCAGATTTCCTATTGTTTCCTGGGCTTTAAATGGTTGCAGAGTTTTGGCAACACTTGAGCACTGAATACCACCAGAAATAAATTTTTCTGGGACAGCCTAGTACATAGTAAAGCTATTCTTGGCATTAAAAGAAATATGAACCAGTCCAGTGTTGAATGAAAGGAAAAAGAGAGGAAACACACATTTCATATTTTACTATCACAACTTTTATTTTGTCTCTTTATGTACAATATTAAGAGCTGTTGGTTGTATATACAAAATCTGTGTCCTAAATACTTTGTGACAAATTTCACAAGAACCGAGTACTCAAACACGAACAAGCAATGTATAAAATGTTCTACTTTGCTGACACCCTGGCTGTCTAAGAGTAAGACAGTTATTTTTGATGAAAGCACTAGAAGTGGTAGAGAGTGTACATTGTATTACACTTCATTTTATCTCTTTTACACAAAGTAAGGCACTTTTAATACAAAAAAAACTTGCTTTTAGTGGAACCTCCATATTCTGGTGCTCAAGAGAATTCAACATTGGCAACTTGTAACATCAGTATTACACTTAATTCTGTGTATTTCACATAGTACATGATGGCAATTTTGCTACAAAAACCTTGCTGTTAGTGTAACGTTTCTGCTATTAGGTGCACTGATAACTCAATGTTGGCAACTTGGGAAGCAGCGTAGTGCAATTCTTCACCCCATATTAGCTGGAAGTAACTGTATGTACAATGTACATATTTCCAAACTTGTGACACAATAATAAGGCACTATAATTAGTAACATACAAATGTTCGTCACGTTGAAAGGATTAGTACATGTCATGTTAGTTCTTCTCGTATTTTTGCCATCTTCTCTATCTCTCAGAATTCCAACACAAACGCTTACTGATAATATATTATAATTGTAGCACTTCAGCAGAATGTACTACGCCTGTGCAAAACGCAAATTTTTCACGTTTTTCATTGGATTTCTGGTCAATGCTGCATCAGAATTTTGCCTGTTGCAGACAATGTCTTTTCTGACATAACATTTGGAAACTACAGACTGGATGTTAATCTTACATACGGGCATATGGCCTTATATGAGACGTTCTGCCAAAGTGCTATGCGCAATACATGTACATTACGGGTTTTGCGCTGGTGCAGTATGTTCTGCTGACATGCTTGTAAACCCTTTCCCCCCAGGACTACAGATGATTGTTTAGTGGTTTGCAATGTAGTTTTGTGCTTTTCAATAGCTTCTATGTTAGTTCTTTTTGTACACTTGCCATCTTCTCTCTTAGAATTCCAACAATAACACATATATTATGATAATCGTAACCCTTTCCCCAAAAAAATTGAAGATTGTTCATTTAGTGGTTTGCGATGTAGATAGTTTTGTGCTTCTCGATGGCTTCTATATCTCTCTCTAGCTGCTTCATTTCTGCCTCCATGCGCTCCTTGCGAGCCTTCTTGGGCGCCGTATCCGTGACGACAGACAGACCCTGGTACTGATGGTGGAGGAGCTCCCAGTTGTTCTTCAAACCATCCAGCATCATCTGATGGGAGAGGGACGAGATGGGGTTAGGATGGATGGCTTAGAGTATTGCATTCATTTATTATCATTTATTTTACCAGTAGATTACACAAACACAAAGTCTTTCTGGTGTTCTTGGGTACGTAAGAAGACATTCCAGAACATGACACTGTATAATCCTAATGCAGACTAAAGAAATAGACCAACTTACACACTGTGACAGTACTGTAAAGGTGGGGGCTTATAGGCGCTACCAACTGACCCGGCCGACGGGTGTAGACCTTTTCGGCTGAGCGGTTAGAGCGTCTGGTTATGAAGCTGGTGCTCGGGAGTGGTGAGACAAATTTGATAGACTGGTCTAACAACTAATACTGAATTCCAGTAGCACTTCTAATTTTGATAGTGGTAAGTTGCATTTATTCACTACCTACCAGGCACATTCACTGTTCATGTTAATCAATACACTGTTAGGATTCTCAAATTTTGTCTCAAATGAGGCCATCCATACAGAGACCTGGCAGAAATAAAAACCGGTTGACTCCATCATCCATGGTGAAATAAATAAACCTGAAACTTGTTAACAGGTGTCAGAACTAAATATTGTTAAACACAACAAACAGGTGGAGAATCAACTTACTTGTCTCTCAGCCTCTGACAGAGACTTCATGGCCCCCCGTCTGAAATGTTCCCTCACGTAAGCGTCATATTCCTCCTGAGCTCTCTGTACTTCTTCCTTCCTTCTGTTCAGGTATTCAGGAGTCTTCCCGTAGTCCTGAAGGAGCGAGGAAAAAGTCTTAGGATTCTCCAAGACATCAAATTCTACTCTCGTCTCCTCTATTCCTTAGACTACTTGACAGTTGGGATACCACACCACAGAAGATCTGACCTCCAGTTTTTCTCCATGTACACTTTTTGATTTTCTGTTCAGAACTTCTTCTTAACAGTTTACTTAGTGTCTTGCCTATCAATACTCTGACACAAACCTTCTACAAGCCTGCGAAAATTTTTTAAAAACATGTAAATTGTTAGCGTCTACCAGGCTTCAGAAGCGGCTGGAAAGAGTAGAAATTGGCCAAATATACTAGATCACAGTCTGCTAAAGGAGTACATTTGGCGCTACAGAAGCCTGGTAGAGGGTAATAAATTGCGACAAAATTCTACAAATTACTACAGAATTATTCTCACCTTTTTGTGCACATATTTGGGGTTGAGCCCGGATGGGTCCAGGTCGAAGGTTGCTCCCTTGGGCGTGTCAGCGTACTTAGCGACGGGTTTCTTCGGGACAGACATGATGTTTTCCACGGCGTTGGTGGTGATGAAGTTCTTGTTGGTCTGCAGACCCATCAGAGGTTTCTCCTCCTTCCTGGGCACGGCTGGGCGACGCTTGTCCTCATCTGGGTAGTGGAACGCTTTCTCTGCAAAGGACAGATTGAAGTTAACAGGTCAGCCAAGGTAAGTTTTAGCTTGACTATTGGTATAAGGGGGCCTGCATGCCCTTTTTCGTAAGGCGTAATCAGGCCTTTTCAGTCTTCACAATCCGTTGGCAGCCTCCCCAAAAATCAATGTAATTCGTAATAGTACATTAGCCGCAAGGCGTAAAGTCGTAATCAGCTCTGAGACTTAAACGTAAATCGTAATCGGCGGCTAATCTTGGGTAACTTACTTTCTGATTTAGAAATTAGACATTCATTTTCCAAAACTATTTCAGAAGCAGCACTATACATGATATAATCTCCAAGCAGATGTTGGGACGGAGGTCATAATTCATATAAACATTATAGAACTTTTTTCCATTTTTCTGCTAATAGTAATAGCTAAGAGTAAAGTAGAGTAGCATCTACGGCCAGGTGACAAGAAAGCTGACTTACTTGCTGGCAGCTGAGGTTCCTTCTGGTGTTTCTTGAGGAACTCCTTGGGCGGGCTGACGTCCACCTTGGCCGGGCCCATCGTCTTGGCAGGAGCCTTGTCTTTCTTAAGTTCCGTCTTCACAGTATCATTGAACTTGGACGTGTAACTGTGAAAAATATAAGGCTGGGTAAATAAAAAAAAAAGTCCAGAAAAAAATTAAAGCAAAAACGAAGATACCTAGTTGTTCAGCTCAGTTGTTAGGCTACTGACATTATATTTAAGTGCTAATTATTAAGATTATCATTATTATGACATCTTGGAGACAAGGAAACAAAACATTTGCGATGTCTAACTCTGAGGCATTTAATATTGTTTGTTTATTTTCGAACTCACAACGACTGTCGTTTCACGAACAGATATACAGCAAACTCTACACCGACAAGGTACACAACAACGAGATCTGGGGAATCAAATATAACCTATGAAGGACGAAAACTTACCCTGCATTTTTGATAATCCCAGGTTTTCCTTCCACGAACCTAGCCGGCTTGGATGGTTTGATCTCTTCCCTTGGAATAAGATTATAAATGCTTTCCTCAGGTGGTGGAGGGCGTCCATAGTATGCTGTGGCCATCTTAGAAGTTCAACCTTACTCTAAATGCAGAAATCTGGTCCTTAAAACCGCGGATGGCTAAGATATCCGTCCGATTTTCTTGAAGAAGTCTTCCTGACTACGGCACAACAGAACGCTGTAATCAAGAAGGGCTGAGTTGTCAAACAAATACCCGGTTGCCATTGGATACGGGCATGCGCACACCGCGGTAGCTGTGTGTATTTACGACACTTAGTACAGTTGACGGTAGGTACATTTACGACAATAGTGACGTATTGCGGTACTTGATCCGCACTGTTTCTACTTGCGGTTCTTACAAAAGTCGCTAGAGGTCATCTTTGCACGGAAAACTTTCTTTGACTTTGACACTGAACTAGGCCGATTGAAAGTGCCCCTAGCGGCCGTCCGACTGGTAAGTTCTCTATATACAAATGCGCAGAAATTGACATTTTCGATCATAAACAATGAGAATTGTGTCAAATTTTTGCTATTCACTATTATCCAGTCATTTTATCACAGAATTTTCAGCACTGTTGACAGGACCCTCCTGTCAATAACAGAGATGTTTACACTATTGACAGGAGCATCACAGAAAGTTTTGCACTATTGAGAGAATCATACATCAATAGCTTCGGGCTTTTTCTAATTAAATCTCCTTGATAAAACGATTCAAAGTGCATTCAAAGGGCAGGTAGTGTACTCAACTAGTGTATTCATTCTCAACTCAAGATTAGACTACATACCACAAGAAGCTACGGAGTAACTATACCGAAGTCGCTGGAAATCTCGATAAGGGTTTATATAAACCATATTTATTCACTGAACAAGTGTAATCGCTAGAAATCAGCTATAAATGCACCATACTTTTTAGCGTATTTACGACATAATGCCGGTTAACGATGGATACATTTACGACGGTACTGACGTATTGCGACACTTATCCCAGTGCACCTGCCTGCAGTTCTGATACAAACCGCCAAAGGCCCTCTTTGTACCGTGGTGACTTTTTGACAAATGACCCTGACCGCGGCTTTGTGATTACGGACGGTACAGGGACAACTTCAAAGCTACCGCGTTGCTTCTATAAACCGCCTGGAAAGCTACCGCAAAAGAAAAACCTTTCACTGAACCCTCAACTACAAAATCTGACGGAAAAGTTTCCCGTTCTTGCTTTCCTGTTTGTTTTTTGTTGGTTGCATACGAAATCAGGCGCTGTGTTGCTGTAATGAATTATTTATTTCAGCGCATCCAGTAAAGAGGGCCATTTGGTTACCGCTGAGGCTACGGACTCCTGTCGTCCCAATCTTTCCCCTTTACCGTCAAGCCACCACGGACTTATACGGGAGAATTTAGCAAATGCAGGGACGTTTTTGTCGTGTGTAAGTCGGCGAAAGGGCTTGGGAGTTCGAGCACGTGTGGGTTTGTTTACGTTTTTGGAACCGGCTGCAGTCCAAAAGATCGTCCGCTGGTTTGTTGGAATCAACTGACAGGTCGACCTAACCACCACAGCACAGCTCAACACTACTACGGAAAGAGAGACCAAAATACCCGCTGAAATTCATTCTTCCCGCTTGTAGTATGCAGAGGGACGGTGGCGTAGATAGCAGACATGCCGGCATCCAGACTGTTGCTGTTAAAAAGGTACCAGCCCAGGTTTTTGTACTGCCTTTTCTGTGTTTTGTTTTGCCGCCATTGTTGGCGAAAAAAACCCTTTCTTCAGTAGAGGCCCCCTACCGGCTCTGTCCCCGAAATTTACACACTTCTACGCTTCCGATTGTTCTTATATTTCATCTGAACACTTGTCACAACATTGTAGGAAAGGTGTGAATGATTTTTGGAAGAAAAACTGAGGAAAACCGACTTCGAACTCAAATTTCGGACGATCTGACAGCCCATATCACATCTGCATCTTTCTATTTCCGCTTCGCAGTAAACCAAGTTCTTAGGTTAACCAGACTTCTTCTTAAATCATCCCCAAGGAGTAAGTAAAGATCTTAAAGATCACAGCAGTGTATTTTCGGTTTTTAAGATCACATCAACGTAGTTATGATTTAAAAGGGGCCGCAGGTTACCATAATTCACTTTGGAGAGGCAGGAAAAAATGGACCAAGGCCCAAGGGATGGCACGGGCTAGTCCAACATTTACGGGGGGGTGTTTGTTTGTGCTTTTATTATGTTCCTAATTGTTGGCCCCATTGTAATTTAAGTCATTGGAACATTCCTAGTGAGTGGTATCCAGGCAACAGCTAGGAAAGGAATGTTTGAGAGTCCATCTTACTTCACTGCTCTTTTGCATCGTTTGGATTTCACCATCAGTTTCTAGAAGATTTTAACATTAACCATCAGAAGGCTAAGGCAGTAGTTTTGCAACCAAATTTGTATTAGTTATGGGGTTAGGCCTCAGGAAGAAGGTTAAAATGTCATCAGATGGCCAACTTGTGATAGAAGAATCTATAGAAAAAAAGGACGAATTTGGTAAATAAAACTAAAAATTCACCAAGGGCAAGGCAGCCACCTTTGAAAATATATTAAAAGGGTCACATTTCTGTCCATCCCTGTTGAGGCCTTTTCCAGGTATTGAACCAAAATTGTTTATGTATATACATTGAAATCAATACACAGGTGTGTAACCTATATCTATGTGCCCAATCCGAAACACATGACTTGCTTTAAAATTCAATAAAAGGATATTCGGATTTTGGATTAAATTTTAAACAATCAATTTCATGAAAAGTGGCCAACAGGCAGATTTTAGTATTTCATGATAGACAAGACAAAGGCTCAAAGAAATCAGTGTATGACTATGAAAGCAAACAATTTGAAATAATACAGACAACAGCTTAAGCCATGTGGGAGAACATATGCTCTTCCAATCCAAATGTGTGCACCGCTGGTACTGAAGTTTAATTAGCTCAACTGTAAAGACTGGAATTCACCCAATGACTACCTAATGCCTTTCCTCAATACCAAACCAAACTTTACAGGTTTGTCTCCTTTAAAAAATTGGCTTGTCAATTGAATGTGATGTTGTTTAATGAATTTTAGTTTTCTTTTATTGAGGCAGAGTCATACTGTATAAATTCAAGGATATTTCTAGTCTGGTAATCATATCCAAACCTAATTTAGCTGCCAAGTCTCTTTTGTCCTCTCTGCAAATACATGTAGACGAAAGAGACTTGGCAGCTAAATTAGGTTTGGATATCAGTCAGCTTCAAGCTTTTTTTTCGCTGCATCACAACACTTTCTAGCCATCAGCATTTTGTCCATGTTCTCTAAGCAGGTTGAAAGTTGCTTAGAGGTTAAACAAACTTACAGATAAAATAGATGAAGGCCACCTGTTTTTCGCCATTGACCCTTCAAAAACTGATACTTTCAAGTTTCAAAAGTAACATGGTGGTCCGTAGCAAAGCAAAAAAAAAAAAAGGAAAATTTGCTACAATTACTCAAATGTTGTCTTGTCCATTCTATGTAGCCCACCCCTATTTTCTCAGTGTTCGAGTCCATTCTACTGCCCATCGCAACCCGCACCCCCCAGCAGTTTCACATAGTTTCTTCCATCTATTCCTTTTTCATATCCAGTTTCCACCTACAGTATGGAAACCAGCTGTTCATGTTTAAATTTTGCCCCTTTCTCCCTTCTGCACTGACAGAGCACAGTTTAATCCTCTGTAACCCAGCACAGGTCCTAACCCTTAACTCCGAATGCCATGCTACATGTAGGTAATCCCCTGTAATACAACACAGACCCTGACCCCCCTACGCACCTCAGTGGTTGATTCCATCACCAAATGCCATGGTACATGTACAGGGGTCTCGCAAGAAATTATACGGGAAGAGGTGCTCCCCAGTCAGTTGATGAAAAATCATCAACTTTTCATGAAAATACTAAGAGAAAACCCTAAATTTGAACATTTTGGGAGGGGTGCTAAAATTTTGTGAAGAGGGGGAGCACCCTTGCTTCATTGCTTGGGGAGAGCCCCGATGTAGGTAATGATAAATCCCCTATAATACAACACAGACCCTGACCTCCCCTCCCCTTCATGCTATGGTACAACCCTAGAGATCTAACATGACACCTGACCCCCCTACGCGCCTCAGTGGTTGGTTGATTCCATCTGTACCCCAAAATTGCAAATTCATTCCAGACCGTCAATGCCAGCCTAGAAAACGAAATGTCCCATATTTCGTTCGATTTTAAAGAAAAAAAAAGATTATGGCATTTGATTTTTTCACACTATGGGAAAAAATTGGAGGAAATATTCAGCATTTGCTGGCAAATCCTGGTTGTCTAATTTTCCCTACTATCCCCTTGAGGTTTCCATTTCATTGCACTGATGACTGAAATATGAATACTATTGCAGGAAAGTATGTGAGGGAAATATTCTACATTTGCTGGCAGATGTTGGCTATCTAACTTTTCCTAATTTATCCTAATGTGAGAGAGATATTTTGCATTTGCTGTCGGATGCCTGCTATCTAATTTTTCCTGATTTTCCCTTGAGGTTTTTGTTACCAGATGGGTGAACATAATTCCGGAAATATTCTACATTTGCTAGCAAATGCTTAATGCTGACTACTAGTATCTAATTTTTCCAGATTTCTCTTTGACTGCCCTGAAAACTGAGGAAATATATTGCATTTGCTGTCCGATGCCCGCTATCTAATTTTTTCCATATATTCCCCTGAGGTTTTTGTTACCAGATGGGTGCACATAATTCATGCTGGGGTCACCTGTGCATTGTGTGGGTTGGTGTGGGGCCATTCCGGCTGAAATACAATACAATAAAATTCCGAACATGTCATTATTCATTACTGACACTTGGTGAAATTACTGCTGCTGCTCTGGGTTCATTGTCCTCGGGAGGTTTTTTAAGTGTTCTAGGGGCCAGGACTGAGTTTTTTTCTGAAATCTGAAGTTGGGCCCTCTTTATTTATTTCTCTGGACAGCAAATGTACATGTACGGTCTCCAAATTTCCAAAATTACAGGGTTTTTGTGTGACACATGATTGTACAATTTGGATATGATGCAAAATGTAAAATTCATAATGATTTCCAAAAACACACACACACACACACTCATTTTGTCTATAATTCTTTTAGCTACCTGTCAAATCTTTGGCCAGAATTGGATATTTGTGACCCATAATTTCATATTTGGGATATGATGTGCACACACAAGATGTTAAGTCAAAATGATTTACAAAAAAAAAGGTGCACAAAACACACCAAAATTGTTCTTTGTCTATGAAATTTGTTGAGCTGCTATCTGTCAGATCTTTGGCCAAAATCAGATTTGTGTGACCCATAATTTTATAATTGGAATATGATGCATGATGTATTATTTCCAAAAAAAATGCACAAAGCAAGACTGTTCTGTCAAAATTGGACTTGTGATTTTATAATTTGAATATGATCAGCAAGCTGTAACATTATGATTGATGAAATAAAGATTTTTGATAAAAAGGAATTTGTTGAATGATCTGTCAAACCTTTGGCCAAAATTTTGTTTGCATTACCTATAATTTCATAATTAGAAGATGATGCAAAATATAAAGATATAAAAGACAACATAACACACAAAATGCAAGAAAATTATTCTTTATCTGTGAAATTTGTTAGGCCATGATCTGTTTCGTCAATCTACATTTTACTGCAATGGAAGGGCCATGCCAATTTCAATCTGAGAACCAACAAATTGAATTTTTATAGCCTAAAATGAAATCAAATATTCCGGGCAAGAAGCCGTTTATTGCAAAATTACTGGCCATAAAGATTTTAATCTGCAAAATTGTCGCACATCCTTCAGAAAGCAGGGCTGGAAATTCAGTTTTGGGAATAGGTGGACTGTCAGGTGCACCCAACCTAAAAAATTGGGTGCACAAAAAATATCTTGGGTGCACCATATGAAATAGAATAAGTAGATTGTCAGCAAAAACTAATTATGTTTCATTTCTAAAAGGAGTACAATAATAATTATATTATTTTTCTGACACTTAGATGTTAAGAATATCCTGTATACTACAATACTATACTATACATCTAACATCTTTACATACGTAAACCTATGAAAATATTTGGGTACACAGCTCAAAATTTGGGTGCACCAAGGTGCACATGCACCCAGTGTTTCCAGCCCTGAAAAGTTTTCTGAATGAGGCTTGAGGCCTGCTTTTTTACGATCCTACATAAAATTGAGTTAAAAATTCAGGAAAATTCAGGGCATGGAATACTTCATCGCAAAATTACTGGGTACAGAAATTTGTGCGCATTATATGCTAGTTCTGTAAACCAGTGGAGACAAAATTTAGTGTTCTTGATTGGCTGTATGATTGGAAGGGACTTTTATTCCTTCTGTGAGTGTAAAATTTTGTCCTACTGAGTTTTACTGTTCATAATCATACAGCAAAAAGAAGTGTCTGCAGGTATAGATGTGTTTGAATTATATTTCCAGCTAGCCTGGGTACCAGACTGTTTTCAGGGCCTACAGAGGCCAGATCCTCTCTTTCCAGGGCCAACATGCCCCCAAGAAAATTTTACCATAGCTCCCTGACTGAGTTAGCCTGGGTGCCAGACTGTTTCTAGGGCTTGCAGAGCTACCAAGAGGCTAGCTCCTCAGCTCTGGGACCAGCAAGTTCGTCACTGAGTTAGCCTAGATACCAGACTGTTTCCAGGGCCTATACAGACCAGTTTCTCGGCTCTAGGGCCAACAGGCCCCCAAGGAAATTTTTGGAACACAGCCTGGCTTCCAGACTAACTTCCAGCTATAGCCTATAGAATGACCAATTTTAGGAAATTTTGCTTGAATCTAGTACTAAAATAATATTAGGAAATGTTTTTCATTTAAGAGGTTCATCAGTCACGTATTATATGTATAGATTAACAGTTAGTAGAACATTTATCAAACAGTTTGTTTCGATGAAAGTTCGATCGTTCCCAGACTTATAACACCTGATCTCGCTCCCCATTTCTGCAGTGAACCCTGTACAATTCTTCAGGTTTCCAAAATTCCCTGCACGAAACCCAGCGGATACAGAACCCATGCATCAAGAACTAACCTGTAATTTTACTCTCCTACTCACAGGCGAAATTGCAGCGGGTGAAAATAGAAACCTTCAGCAACCTTCAACTTCAAACCAGAGCTGGCAGTACTGGCTGTATCTGCACTTATGTAGAACCCAGATTGCAGCTAATTTGTACTTTTGACATTTAATTTAAGTGTCAGAATGTGAACTGTAGATTAGACTTGAACTATGCAGGTATCCAGATTATTTCCAGGGCCAACAATACTATCCAAGCTGAGGTTTAGGCTTTGGTTTAATTTTGGGCGTGATTTTCTTCATTCTTTATATGATTTCATCATTATTATATATGCTTTATTTGCACCCAAAATTGTTTCTGTGCTACTCAATCTTTAGTTTAGGTGCACCTGTTCCCAAAAATGAATTTAGAGCCCTGTTAAATTGCAGATTTTGTCTGGGAGACTGGAAGGGTTGTAGAGCTGTGTGGGTAAAGGGGTGAAGTCTGCCATCTCTGACTGCCTTGTGTGTGGGTAAGGTGGTGAGGTCTGCCATCTCTGACTGCCCCAGTATGGGTAAGGCCTAAGGGGGTGAAGTCTGCCATCTCTGACTGCCCCAGTAAGGGTAAGGGGGTGAAGTCTGCCATCTCTGACTGCCCCAGTAAGGGTAAGGGGGTGAAGTCTGCCATCTTTGATTGTCTTGTAATGTGTATTTTTTAACGCAGGGTGAAGATCCGGAAGCAGAGAAGACCAAATCCGACCTGCCCAAAGTGAACGGCATCAAAGGCGGAGAGCAGTCGCCGCTACTCGAACTCTCGCCGCGCGGGAAGGACCAACAGAACGGCGACGGTTTCCCTGGCAACGCGGAGGACACGCCCTTAGAGACGGGGCCGCGCCGAGGGCCGGAGGAGAAGGAGGAGAAGAAAGTGGGCTGGGGACAGGTGAGTTTGTTACACAGGTGTGCTAGGACAGGTGTGTTGGGGGCAGGTGAGTTAGGCAGGTGTATTGGAGACAAGTGTACCGCCTATGCATAAGGATCACCTGGTCATTGTGGCCAGGTGGTCCTACTGCACAGGTGCTACAACATTGCTGTTCTTATGTTTACCAAAGGAAAACATATTGTTTTTGCTCTGTTTCCTCTTCTTCTTCGTCTCCAAACCAAAAAGGTCAATGACCTGAACCAGACATCTGTTACCATGGTAACTGATGTTGGGTTACATCATGTTGCAATTTTACAGCAGGAGGGATTTAAAGTCATATATTCAATGTGTTTGAGTAAGAATTAACAGAGCAGACATTATGCATTTGCTTTGCAAATGTTGCCTTTCTAGTTTGGATTACTTCAATGACACAAGCATTAGGAATCCTATCCTGTCCATAACAGCCACTAGTTCTCTGTGACCATTTCTCTAAGTATGTGTAGGCAGTAGTGACAAGTTTGACTGTACTTGTCCAAAGTAGCGGAGCAATATCACAGCTACCTCTATTATATGTACCATCCAAACCATCTGTCCTGGGAAGATTGGAGCATATCTGCACATAAAAACTGGAACGAGATGCGTTCTGACACTTTGCGACAGCTTTTATGTGCATGCAGAGTACTAAGGACTTCTGAATCCTATTGGTAGTTCTGAGAATGGTTCTCTGGAGTTGGAGATTTGGAGTTGGAGACCAAATCATCTCTGACAGCGAGAGATTTTTCATGTGCATACATACTCAACATTATGTTAAAGAATCCTTCAAGCTTCTATTGGTTCTGGGAATGTTTCTCTCAAGTTAGACTCAACTTAGAGTTGTATGGCCACAAGCTCTCAGGGAGGAGACCAAATCGGCCCCTGACAGCAAGAGATTATTTAACACAGCGCTATGTTCAACACTATAATGCTATACAAGAGTTTTTTATATTTACAAAAGAGTTTTTATATGTTCATACATAGTGATAAAGAACCCTGAACTTCTATACATAGTTCTGGGAATGGGAATGGTTTTCTGGAGTTAGACTAGAGTTGTATGGCCACAAGCTCTCAGGCTAGGGAGGAGGCCCAATCAGCTCCTGATAGCGAGAGATTATTTAACACAGGCTATGTTTAACGCTATACCAGAGTTTTTGTATGTTAACACATGGTGATAAAGAACCCTGAACTCCTATAGATAGTTCTGGTAATGGATTCATTCATTAATTCGTTAATTCATTTATTTATCCATCCATCCATCCATCCATCCACCCACTCATCCGTCCATCCATCCATCCATTAACCCACCCACCCATCCATCCGTCCATCCATCCATCAATCCATCCATCCATCCATTCGTTCAATGGGAATGGTTCTCTCGAGTCAGAGAGCAAGAGATTGTGTATGTAATATAGGTAACATTTCAATGCTTTGCCAGAGATTTTATGTGCACATGAACATGTCAGTGGAGACAGTAACAATGATTGCCCAGACAGTACTCAACATGATTGTGAATCGTGTATGTTATGATAAGACCCACCACCCCAGCTTGTCAACCTCAGTAACAAGTGCAGATTAGTCAGTGCCGTTTTTACGACGACGCACCATCGTAAAACACAATTACAACAATGTTAGGTTGGCTGAAGAGATATTATGGGACGATGTGTTACTCTGGACATGGGCCAACGTTTTTAGATTTTACACTCATCTGCCATGAACTTGGAGTTCTGTGATTTTATGATTTTTTTTACGAGTTTGCTCAATCAATGAATGTCAGGCCAAAAGACCTGTGGCTTCTGGGCACTGAAATACGTTGGTGGGAGATATACAATTTGTAAGTGACTAGGGTAGGGGATGGCAGTGAACATTGGTTTTGAAGGTTTGTGGGTTGTACAAAATGTATTTGAGAGGGAAAGATTTCCATAATTTTGCACTCTGTAGAAAGAAGCTGTTGTACCTTGCGTAGTCTTTTGGTTTTTGTGACCCTGCCTCAGAACCAAGAGGTTGGGAGTTCAAATCCCGGCTCATCCAAATGTACGCTACTTGAAAGGGTTGCAGTCCTTAGGATGGGACGTTAAGCTGTGGTCCACTGTCCATTGTGCTTGTATGTCGAAAAGAGCTAGGAGAATCTCCCCGGTACAATGAACCTGTAAATACTGTACATAGCGTCTGTCTTCTCTGTCATGACCAGTGGAAGTGTAGCTCTTTGGTGAGCTAAAAGTAAAACTGGATCGAGATCACTTTCACTTTTTCCACACTCACCTGTCACACTTGGCTGAGTGAACACCTGAAGAACCAATCCCAGAACCTACCACAGGTGTAATTGCTTTATTCCAGCGACTAGTGATCGTATTACAGGATATTGATTACGAGATCGGATTACAGCACATCTGACAGATCTGACCCATCTGTGGTTATAGGAGCTGTGAAATGGGGGCAGGCGAAATTTTTAATATCAGTACAGGGCTGGAAATATCATCCAGGTAAAATTGGAGCTGTATGATTTCTACCTGCACCTAACATTCTAACAAGAAATACCTAGTTGAGCCTCTAACGTCTAAGTCCTAACTTTAAGTACCAGAATTATCAACCGAAGAATAAGGTATTCAAAAAACACGTTTTTTTTCTATAATTACATTGTACATAATGTACGGTAGAGTATGTCGATAAAGGTTAGACATCCAGGTAATGAGATACAGGTTGTACATGTATGGTAAAGTGGTAACATACGCAGGTGCTGCTTGTTTATTTGTTTGTCTGTTAATTAGATTTAACTTAAAACAAGAAGCCATAGGCGACAATTCTCCGTGAAGTTTTATATATTTCAACAAAATCCCAAGCGTCAACGCCAGACCTACTGTGCAGACATTATAATTAGGCAACGGTTAATACCACGCTCGTCCCCAGCGCCCGTGGAGAAGCCATAGGTTATAGATCGTGGCTTAGCCCAGGCTATGGAAAATAAACTTTCTTTAATGCAAATCTGTCGTTTTTGTTTTCTTTGTCGCTATCTAAAGGGTTAGGATAACCTACTCTACTCTGGCGGTATTGTCGTGCGCGCTCGCTAGTACGTAACGTTACACGGCGGCCATCTGAATACATGTACACTGCATTCTTTCTACTATCGGGACCTAAAACAAGACGCAAGATTCCTATTTTGGGGTATAAAATGCTGTCACAATGGTAATATATACCAAATGAAACGGACCTTTACAAAGTACCTCATTTGGTGACGCTATGAGGGTGTACCGTTATCCCTCTACATTTGCCCAGAAGGGAGTTAGTCGCGGAAGGAACTTAGCCACGGAGGGAGTTTTGGCATTCTCCGCCCGCGCCACAAACTCTCGTCCCCAGGACAGTTCACTCTGCTACCCAGCATGCTTTGCGCAAAATGCGTTCTCGGCCCCAGGACACAAATACACGCTAATGCTTCCGCACTGTGTTGCTCTGGGGACCCCGCCGCGCGCCCAGATGTGGATTTAATTATAGCGCGCTAGCGGACGCTGCGGAGGAGCGTGGGTTAATACAATGAGGGCGCGTCACAAGCATAAAACATACAAAGAGCTAAATCCATTACTGCTCCCAGGGCGTGTAAAGATACTGTGCTTCAAGTTCTAACTTCATTTTAATTACACACACACAATCATTGCATTCACATAAAGATCGGACTATCATGGTCGTGTCTAGTAACAAAGACAGCCCCACCGTCTTACGGTGCCTGTACCTAATTAAGCGCGCCTGGAACAAGCCAAATTCCAGCAACAGTGGCGGTAAGCACCGCGAGTGTTACTACCGCCGGCCAGATAACCAGGATATCTGCTTACAGTACCTCTGCTACCAGACAACTGCCTAAACCTACGGTCTATTCCACAGGATTGTAAAAGTAGGGATGTTTCGAAAATAACCATTTACTCCAATATCAAAACAGCTACGGTAAAAATAAAAAGACGTGCATCATCCCGGACATAATGCAACACCACATGCGAAATTACACAGATATGCGACGTACGGCAGAATGCGTTTTGGCTGCGAACATCTTCCAAAAAACTTGGCATCTCTTAACCATGGGCAAAAACATCTGGAACCACTTATAAAAACCACCCCGTATCTGCATGAACTTTTACCTCCCCCCCGCTATTCCAAACAACGCGTTTTTCTGGACCGTTCCAATTCGCCTCGTAATTGTAGGGGTGCGTCTGCGATATTACATTGACCGCGAAAGCAGCAACGGCAAAAATACACATTCGTGCATCAACACGGGCATGCCCGCAGACGGCGTATAAAATTGCGTGCCGATTACACGAAGAGAACCCAGTGTTTTGACTGCGAACATGAAAAATCAGCCGATTACAACACTCCGTCCGGAGGTCCTGACCTCCTTCACGGAGTAATTAATTAGAATGTATGCAAGTGTAAGGGAGGGCAAAACAGGTGTTTAACTGTCTAGAAGTTGGTGATTCACTAGTCTACAAATCACCTGGATGGAGGCCTGGCAAACCCCCGTATCGTATCAGCCACACGGTGATGTACATGTACATCATCACCAGGACTCCAGGAAGAATAGTGTGAATTGGCAAAACAAACAAACAAACAAACATTGATCCTGAATGTCTTCCGGACATGTCATCTCTCATCTTGTCTGTTATATGATATCCACGGAACCTTGAAGGTCACAAGATGGAGCCAGTTTGAAGGTCGTGTGTGCGTGTGACCTCGATTACCCCCATTACCGATTTAGGCCGAGCTGTCATTTCCGCAGCTCACCTACACGTTATCCCGTATCTGCCCCCGTTCTAATGACGTGTAATACGATATCCTGTAATTTGATATGATACCCTGTAATGTGATATGGAGGAAGGTCAACTTTCCATATTTCTTCTCTTACCTTTAATCAACAGATTACTACTACAGGGCTCCAAATACTTTAATTTTGCATACCAGGAACAATGATCACAGCAACTCTAAAATTCTTCATGGATGGTTGAAAT